AAAACCGCTCAACTTCCGAACGAATCGACTCAAGGCACTCCCTCTGATGATCACCCAAGATACGTTCACCCATAACCTTGCCACCCCAAAATGAATTCAGAGCAAGACAAGTGCAAACAATCCATGCCAAAACTTCCTGTCCCAGAGAAGGCCACATCCTTGAAAAACAAGCGATGGAGGTGGGAAAAGGGAACAAGGCGGACGTTCCCCCTCCCGTGAGCTTGCTGCGAAGTGGTAGTACCTCCATCATGCGTTGCAAAAGAAATGGTCCTAGCTCCTTAACACTCTTTCCAGCACAATCCAAAACAAGGGCTTCTTTTTCGCACCCGGGCTGACGAGCCGTAGTGTTGTTCACCTGTTCCTCAGCATCTTCAAAGCGTGGAGGTACAGGTGGGAAGGTGCGGTCTGCTGCGGCGCCCGACGTGGGCTCCTCATCGGTCACCAAGACCGGTACATTCGGAGAAAAGTCGGAGGTCCTGTTTGCCTCCGGCTGAGGCCCCACAAACGGCCTAGCTTGATATCCCTCATCTCGAGGGATTTTTGGCAATGCATTGAATTGGTCAACCGGCTCCAACTCCCGTGAACAGCCTCCAGCCGTTTTGTCAGGAGGAGCCATCTCCACCGCGTCATACTCCATGAACTGCAAGGGCTCTCGCCGGCAAGAGCTCACTTCGACTGCTCTGCAGGCTTGGTCTTCTCCCCCTTGTAGTTGCTCCCTTGGCCTTTCCCTTTCTCTCTTTTCTGGTCGTAGTGCTCCTTGGGCTTCTCCTGGGATTTCCCCTTTCCCTTTCTGCCATCCGGCTGCGACGCCAGTTGCCGCACTTTTGACTCCGAATAAGCGTCCTTCTGGGCTGCTGAAACTTCTTGGGGAGCTGCGATGTAAAGTCCTTCTTGAGGTGAAAGTTCCATCCTCTGTGCCACTGACCAGTGCGTCCCCCCCAGGACAGTCTCTATGCTCTTCAACCTTTGGCTCAGAATATCGGCTGTTCGAGCCGGCGACCCACGCACGAGCCAGTCCAAAGCCGCCGAAATCGTCATGAGCTCCCGTTGAACAGGAGGAGTTGCTCGTCGGTGCAGCTGCTGCCTGTAGTAACTCACGCACACTGCCTGGACCCCTGATGCCTTTGTCTGCTCGCCGATGGACTGGAGGAGGTTCTGTCTCATCATGTTCAATGAGTGGCAACACAGAGCCCCCGGGAAGGCATCCGCCATCTTCTTGACCTTGCTGTCGACTTCGAACAGGTCCACGTCGCCCTCCTCCACCTCCTCGGTCCCACTGGCCTCGGTGTCCGTCTGGCTCGAACTCGATGACCTCTCCGACTTTGATCGCTTGGCGGCGCGGCGGGCTCGCCTGGTGACTCGCTTCCTCACGCGCTCTCGCGGGTCCAACCCGGTCCCTCGAAAGAGCGAGGCCAGTGGCTTCAGGGCGGCCGCACGGGGCCTTTTGCCATCGTCTCCAATGCTCGACGCCGAGGAGCTCGCGCTGGCCTCCCGCTTGGTTGCCTTGTCCTCCTTCACCTTCTTCTCCTTTCGAGGGGTCCGCGATGATGTTGACGACCCCTTCTTCTTTTTCTTCTTTTTCTTCGAACGACCTTTCTTCTTGTCTTTCTTCTTGTCCTTCTTCTTGGCCTCGACGACCTTCTCGCCACCGGCTTTGACCTTGATCTCGCCTTTGGACTCGCCTTCTAACAAGCGGAGGTCGTCCCGAGCTCGAAGATCTTTCAACTCGTCGCCTTCTCCCGTATCGACCACCAGGAGATTGCGAGCCCACGGTTCTTCCTCGTCGGGCGGCTTCATGAGGCGTGCCTTCATCGCATGCACGAGGTCGTCCGCCACGCGCTCCCCCGAGCAGCCGTCGGGGCACCTGTGACAACGGACAGGAGTCGAAGGGCTCCCGCTGTGATGCTTGAGTAAAGCTTCGCTCGTAGTGCCCGTTGCCTCGAGCTGGAGGTGAATTGCCCCATCCTCTATGGTGAGCCCTTGAACTGTTCCGGCCACCTTGCAACTCGCCATGTAGTATGTAGCCTGGGTCACCACGATCCGCAAGCCTTTGCACACCTCCTCGATGGGCAACTGCCATAGGGCCACCTCCTGCCCTGTCAACCACTTCTCCCGTGGCCCAGGAGCTGTGGTGTCCCTCACCTCTGCGGCTGGTCGATGAAGTGGTCGTCGTAGGATGCCTGGCCTTGCTCCACCATGAGCCTTTGCCTTCGCTCGCACGGCAGCCTTCGGCTTTGGTTTGGCCTTGGGCGGCATTGCTACCTGTATCCGGCAGCTCGCCGTTCAATGCCTCGCTGGCGGTGCTTTGCACCTTTGGACCCTCTGGGCCTCTTGGGTGGCGTCCTGGAACGGGGCGGTCGTCCCCAATGGGTTGGACGCTGGTCTCGACGGCCTTCCCTATGAGGAGGCGGGTGATCTGGAGACCTGGGCCTCCTGGGAGGAGGCGGTGGTGGCAATAGCCTCGGGAAGTACGGATGTGCCTGGGGTTTTGGAGCTGGCTTGAGTCCGTGGGTATCGAGCTCTTCGCCTCCCGTTGCTGGCTGGGCAGGAGTGAAGTCTGGTTCAACTGCCTCTGCACTGGGATGCTCTGCCGACTGCTCTGCCTCTGGCTCTTCCGATTTCTCCTTCTGTACTTTTCTCCTCCTTCGCTCACGGGGTTTGTCTCTGCGACTGGTGCCCTCGCGTTTCTTCCTCTTCTTCTTTTTGGTCGCTCCTTCAACCTCTGTCGAATCCCTTGCCGACGCGCTCCTGGCCTCAGGAGCTTCTGCCTCTTCGTGGTGCTCCTTGACCTCTGCGAGCGGTTCGGTCTCCTCCACGTGCTCCTCCTTGGCCTTGCGGTCCTGCTCACTCTCTTCAGTGACCAGCTTACCCACTACGGGCGGTACAGGAAGTCCAAGCGGGCCTGCAGGGCCCACACCAACAAGCTCAGGCTCAGCTGGGCCTGTCTCACCTTTCTCCTTGGCCAAGATCGGAGCAGCGACCTCTGCGAGGTCCGTGAGCACGCCCACACACGTGCGAAGGGCTTCCAAAGCCCTGGCCTCCTGAGACTTCAGGAGGAATCCTCCCGCGAACAAGTCTCTGATTCGGCGCACCGAACGACACCCGGGGCACACGATGCCTTCGCGCTCAAACGTGAGGCACGTAGGGCACCGACTCATGAGCTGAAGCCAACACTGCGGGAAAAATCAGAAACCATGCTAGACATCTTAACCCACGGGGACGCAGGAACATATAATGTGTTGCTGTTAATTCCTCTAAGACCCCTTTATACAGACCGTTTTTCTTGTTCGTGCCTTGATTCGTTTTTACTTTGAGAATGTTCTTCTTTAGACCTGTAAATTGACCTTATTGTTATTGTTCTTTTTAGTGCCTTTCTTCTTTTTATAGACCCTTTTTTTGGCAAGCTCAAAACCCGAGGAGAGGAAGGCGCCGGGGTAACCAATGTGGGTCCAAGTGCTCGGGCGACGCATCGGTCTTGGCTCAATGGGATGAGGTCGATGTCCACCCGGAAAGACGAAACAAGGTCGCGAAACCAAATGGTTTGCTCACCAAGCAGCTCCAGTTGCTGAAGGCTTTGGTCAACTCAGGAAGCGGCGATGTCTTCTTCTCCTGCCTAGAAGCAGCCAGTAGAAGCCGGTCGTGTGCAGAAAACCCAGAAACAAAGTCCAAGGATTCACTCATGTGGGGGAATTCCGGGAAGCGTCAAGCCGCAAACAACCCATGAATCGGCCAATCCTATTCTCTTCCAGTATGGTTGAGATTCTTGACCGCCCAAAAGAACGGTTGGGGGGATATCTTCATCTTCATCCTGACAGGTCCACCCAAGTGAGTGACGTAAGTTTCACCTTCGGCAAGCTAGAGTTGGTTCTTTCACCCTGCGAGTCTGAGGGTCCCAGCTTCTTTTCCAATGAAGGCACCCGGAGATTGAGACAACAGCAGCTCTGGACACACCTCAGCAGCGCGGTGTCTTTTTCTGCGACGTCTTCGCCCTCTTTGCAGCGACCGAAGGGAAGGGAACAGACCCAAAAACTGGCACTACACTCCCGCAAGCGGAACACTTCCATGATCAAATCCCCTAAATTGGTCTGATGTGCCCATTGGCGCCCTGACAGTCCACATCACATCCCTGTCCTACAGCCAAGTCAATCGGGCCTAGTTGTGCGAGAGGATTGGCCTTGCTTATGGAGGGCATCACCGGCCCCCAGGAAATCAGCACACAGCGGCCTCAAACTGCTCGTTCATCATGCTGGCCCAAAAAATTCAGCACAAGGGTCCAGAAACCACGCGGGCGAGGTCAAAAATCGGGCATGCATGGACATGCATGCATGCATGGATGGACCATCGAAGCCCACATGTTGCCAAGACAAGAATCAAGAAACCTGTTGGTCCTTGGGCTCTTTGGAGTACAAACACCCTGTTCTTGGAGAACAGAAACGCCCAAAAGGAACACCTCATCTCGCGTAGGGCGATGGAAAACGGCTCTCCGTCAGGGTTCGCATCGCTCAGTGGTAAGGTCAGCCGTCGATCTGGTGAGTCACAAAGCTGGACAAAAAGGGAAGAGCGGCCGGAAGTTGGCCCATCGACGGCGAAGCGGTCCAACCCGAAGGAAAATCCTCTTCCAAAGATCCATGTGTTCAGGTTCCATGTTGATCTTCCGGGGTGTACCTCTTGGTTCTGAGCCCGCTACATCTGTATACCCACATGTTCTCCAGAACCAGCGTCCCACGCCGACTGATCACCACACCAGTGGTCACCAGTGCTGATGAGGCACAAGCAGCGCCCGTCCAGAATCACCATGGGCCAACGGTGGAACAAGCGGTCTTTGACCCCGCCCCGCTCGGAAACGCTGACGAAGCACAGAAGAAGAAAACACGTGAAAGATCTGAAGTCTTAACACCCTCTCTTGGCTGCCATGAATGACATACAAATCCATCTGTCGTGTCTCACAGTCGCGAGACACGAGGCAGCCTTGGGTTGGTCCACTGCTCTGGGGATCTGACGGAACACTCTCCCAGCTCGGGACCTCTGAGGCCCGCGTCGTGGCTTTTCTGCCGAGTATATCATCGTGGGAACCAAACGGGTGAAACGGGTGATCCATCACTAGGGCATGATCAACCCAGTGGGTTATCATTATTCACATTGCTAACTATAGGGCATGTCCAACCCAATGGATACTCCAAACTCAAGCAGCAAAGGCATAGTTTAACTCTTCTTTTTGTGTGTGACTGCCTCAATCCACCAGCTGCAACTGGATCAATCAAACCTAGCAACGACCGCTTTCCAGGACAACGACAACGACTGTTGCAACTGCGCCTCTGCGTGTTGCCCCTCCACGGGCGCCTCCGCGTGTTGCGCCTCTGACCTGAGCGCAGCTGGGCGATCGCTGGGCGATCGCTGGACGATCTGGGGGAGACCCAAAGCCTTCACTCAGGTCGCTTCCGAACATAGCAACCATGAGTTGAAAAGACCTGACCCTGAGTGGGCCAAGGCAGTGCCATGTGCGACCAAACTTCATCCAAATGTGTTACAGAGCTTGGCACTTTGCTCACAAGGCACACTGAGCATCACACGCAGAACCCCGGGCCGCTGACCTGGTTGAGGCTGAAGTGAGAGGAACCAGTAAAACTGTCCGCCCAACCCGGAAGGATGCAAGACATCGATTCTTGGCATTCTGTTTCTTCGCTCATGTTGGCCTCGTGCTCAGGTGGCCACGAAGTCAGTTCCAAAGCTAGGGAAGGTATCAGAGTCTAAAACACTCAACTGAGGAGTTGATCTAGGAATTTCTTTCCGTGGAGAACTCGTCTTAGTCTAAGGAACATTAGAGGTTGCTGCCCTGCCTGGTGTGAGTCACAGCATTGGTCAACTGGTCAACCAACCCAAAGTAGCTTGGGTTCCTCAAAATGCACCCAGCAATAGATTGGTCACGTTTGCTTGAATGTCTCAGAGTCTTCTCATCCCATCTCCCTTCGATCTGCCGATTCACCTTGCTCCATGGCTGGACCCATCCCATCGGACTGCCCGTTCGGCGCACCCCGTTTCACGGACGGCGGCCCGGACGGTCGCCGCGGCGAGGGCGTCCGCAGGGCATACCTGGAGGACACGGCGTCCGCCCCGTTTCAGCTCGATCGAAGACGAGGAACCAGGTCATGAGAATTGTGAGAATTCTGTGAGAAGAGAGAAGATGGGAGGATGGGACTGGACGACCATGACCAAATGGTTGGGACGAATGAAAAGGGAACGCCCCATGAATCCTCATGGCATTGGACATTGATTCATGGGACCATCTTCAAAACCGCCCCGCCCAGGTCGACCAGTTGGGCGAGACCACCGAACCAAACGTCACGACTTCCGTGTTCCTCAGACGCACCAAGCCATGAATTACCATCGGCGCGGTGTTGCTTTGGATGCCGCTGCAGCGTCCTTTTTGACACCCCCAAAAAGGCATGCTGATGCCGTTTCGTGCTTTCATGGTACAGTTGGGTGACACCCTTGTCCCCAAAAAATGATGCCTTCACAGTGGTACAGTTGGTACATGTTGGTACCAATTGACTAAGAGGTACTTGACAGTTCGTACCCCCCGGTCCCTCTCTTTCATCCTTCACCGCGTCTCTCTCCACCAAAACACCGGGTCTGCACTACCGGTGCTGTCGCGCACTCGTAGGCCTCTGACGCCGACGGCACCGTGCACTCCATTTGGGACCTGACGGGCGACGGGCCCCATGGTCAGCCCAACGAAGAGGGATTCGGATCCAAAGGGAGACAAAGCAGAGACGAAGGATCACCTCAAGTTCTGCGAACGAACAGAGATCAAATTGTGGTCATCGACGCAGGGACACCAATAAGTCCAGCAACATCGGGACCTCTCAGTTCTCCCTTTCTAAAAATTGCTGCATAAATGGTCCATGCAAAAAGGTGAAGCTGTTAGCTTGTCAAGCTGGCACTCAATGCCAAAAACACAAGTGAAGAGTCAGGCTCAGGGCCTTCAGCAATTGCCAATGCTCTCTGAGGCCCGGTCGTACTAGTCCGTTCAAGCTGCACACGCCATGTAAAGAATTAGGTCCACTAGGAGTTTCAATGAGTTCTTCGAAAGGAATTGGAGGCGTCTCACTCTGTGGATTCGAAGCCAGAAAAGCCGACACAGCCAGGCCCATCGAAGACTGCCGGGCACAACCAACTAAGAGCAAGGAAGCTCACCCGAAGCAACTAACTCAGCCGATCAGTGCCAGGAACTCTTAGAACTTGGTCACCAACAAATAGGGCTTTTGGATGCTTTTGGAAAAACCTGGGCACCCTGGTTAACCCCATGCACCCTGGGCATAGATTCCTCTATGTTCGGGATGTCAACCTGCCATGGTTTTGCTTGGGAAGGTGACTGACAGCCCACAGCCATATAGGGCTTTTGGGAAAAGACTTCCTACTATACTACTTCTCTGCCATCTTGTTTTGTCTGTCTGCCGGGGCTCAGCCATATGCTGCAGATGGGCAACGGAAGGAGCAAATACTCTCTTCATCCCACAATCCAGACGCTGGAATGATTTCATCCCTTTGGAAGGTCTCCGGGAAAAGGAACAAATACAGTATATGCAGGACCCCTGCACTGCCCCAAACAATCAGCTTGCCCCTCCAAGGTTGGAATGATCTGCAACGTCCAACTGGCTCAGCGCCAACAACCGTGTAGGCGAATCTCATGGTACCACCTACAACGTGGTATCGGTTTCGATACCGATACCTGGGGACAAACAACGAATGCCTCGCAAAGAGGCTTGCTTCTGTTGCGAGACGCCCAGGATGCGATCTATGATTGCCAAAAGGACATTGATCCTAGTCCAGTGTCCATCACCGACATGTCGACCTTCCGTCTGGAGCTTGAGTTCAAGGTCTTGAGGTCCAGGTGCCCATCACCCTTGCCTGACTGAACGGACAGCCTCTCCTCTGGGGCGGCGTCTTCCTCTCCTGGTGCATGAGCCCCGAAAAACGGCAGACAGATCAAGAGCCATAGGTACCTTAGGTATTTGTTCCGAATCATAGAAATGGATTGCAGCATCCAGAATCTCCCTCGTTTGAGTGCCCATCCGACACCGGTTTAGCCCTAAGAGAGAAAGCCTTTGGAGGCGCAAAGGTTTAGGCACGGGGCCAAATCCGTGCGGCAGTTCATCCTCCACTTCCATCGGTTGTGGCATGAAAACCCCATGCTGTCGGTGTCGGTCGTGCTTTGAGCGTGGACGGCTGATCCTGCAGCTTCTACCCGAAGCTAGAGGTATAGAACAACTCAGACACAAACTCAGAAAAGCTTCTCAGGCTTCTCAGCATTAGTTTTCTTCCTTCAAGATCCCCCAAATTGTGATCCAAGCAGATCACCAGGTTCCGTGTCTCAGCTCTCTTTCCGGCCATGGCCCCAACACTCGTCCCCTGTGGCAACACTCGATCGTTCGCCATCGACACCGACACCCGCCTTTTGTGGGACCAGACTGCCCCTGTTGGAGGTGCACCAGACGTTGGAGCTGCCAGGAGAGTCCGAGGCACCCGGCACCCGGGCACCCGGCGCCGGCCCCGAAGAAAACACGTCGATGTCGCGGTGATGTCGGATCGGGATTGGTCAAATGAGGGACAATGTCAGACTTCTTGACTGGTAGATTCAGGTGCCACTTGCCACATTGTTGCTGAAGACTGGTTCAAACTTTGGAAGTTGCTGTGGCCATCCATCATCCTTTGCCTCCGGCAGTTTTCCTGGTGTTTCTGCTGATTTGCCGTGATAGGGCAGGGAAAGCCACTTCTTGTCTCTTCTCCCAAGGGTCTCTGGCTGCTCTCCTATTTTGACATACTAGAGCCTACGCAAACAGAGGATGACTTGGTTTAAGATCTTTCAACACGACTAGTGGGTGAAGTAGAGTCAAGCCAAACACGCGTTATTTAGGCCACTTCTCGCACACATGAGGATCAATCAAAACCTTCCCGCAGGTGTGTTCGTCCATACATCTCCAGCCTGAACCATCAAGGCTGGACATGTTCACCAGGCCTTATGTGGGGGACCCTTTGGACTTGTGTTGAACTACGGGGATGAGTAAAACGGTGCGATGGTTGAATCATCACACAGTGGTCCGTGCTTCGCTGTGATTCGTTGCACTGAGATCGATGTCCTCATTCCTGCTTTGAGCTCTTTGGACGAGTTTCCATGGTCTTTATGTCTTTGCCGAAATCCCTCGGGAAACGTTGCCAAAAAAAAAACGAACTCCTCACACCACGAGTTCGGGAAAGGGTGATGGATCGGCCTCGCGGTCCACGGCAGTGGCCAGGTGTGCGTCCTGGCAGAGTTGGAATCCGAGGTTGGGGGGAAAGGACCTAGGCACACTTTTGTTCAACCCCCCCCTTCCAAGATTTGGCTGAGCTGAGCTCAAAGCCAACACATTCCTCCTTCTTCCACCGGCCTGCACGTTGCTTGGGCCAAGGGACCTGCACGAAGACGCCGGGTTTGGGGTGGAAGACCCCCCGTGACGACCGCTTCGATCGGGCGGACCTCTTCGATGGGCAACCGGATTTGAGGTGATAGAAGATGATCCATCTGGATGTGTATCAAGATAGGGAGACTTTGACTGGTTTTATGTTCATTCTTCCAGCGGGTCGAACTGGGAGGTCTCTCTATTCTAATAGACACCTGTCTGGTGTGCCATCTTTGCACTCTGAACTGGCCACCAAGCCCCTGGTCCTGGTGAGGGCCTTGCTAACATGATGACAAGGCTCTAGCCCATGACATGTCTAGCATCTATGCATCGTCATGTTGGCGAACGCCTCACTCGTTGAGAGGTCATTCCCTCCCACGTGTTTCACAAAAAGAGTTCCGAATCTTCAAAGCACCGGGACGCCTTCGCTTCACATCTCCCTCACGAAAAACCCTGACAGCGCAATATCGCCCTCTCGCCGCCCTAGGTCCTTTTGGCTACCTTCAAGAACAGCTCCAACAATCTCCAAACCAAGATTCTAGCTCCATGAACCCATTTTTTCATCATCCTTGCACGGTGCCTTCTTCTCGCTTGTTTCTTGGCGGTCTCTCTTGTACCCTTACCATCCTCCAGATCCTGAATCCATCGTGCCACGCGTGCGCCACGCTGCGACCGTCGCCCCGCCAGGGATCCGAAACCGTTTCCAAGCGGCCCGGGCTCCGGAGCGGTGCGCATCGATCATGCCCGGCCTGGCATCGATCACCTTGACGAGCGGCCAGGAGCAGACGGTCTGAAAACGTGAGGTCTGAGAGTGAGGTCACTGCTGATCTGAATGAAACTCCTACAAGGTCTGATCTCAATGCACCTCGCAGCTATTACAAAGAGACCAAGAACCACTCGTTTTTACGTATCTGGATGGACCAACCACCCCTGCAGTTTCTTGACCGCCACGGGCTCCACTGAGTGCCTCAGGGGTCCCGAGCCCCACTGAGAACTCGAGAGGCACTCAGCTGGCGGGAGGCCATTGGCAGGTGTCCATCGACGAACTCTAGGACCCTAGGACTCGTTTGGGCCAAGAGGTTGGCACTCTGAACATGGGAGTCTCGTGACGGTCGTTGATTTTGCAGATATTTGTGGCGTTAAGTTGATTCGGCACAGGTTCGGATGGATGGCCACCCAGGGGGGTATGTGCAAGTCAATCCACTTCGTGTACAGGTGCAGGATTTGGATAGGTGTTCCCTCTCCACACAGCTTCGCATCATACCAAGATCCAGAACTGCTCAACAAACAAAAAACAAACAAAAACAACGCGACGCAGGTTGTTCACATGGTTGAATGATTTCTCTTTTGTAGGGTCATCTACTGAGATCTGTTCCGTTCTTGAAGCTTACGATGTCTGCCCGGGTGATGTCAGGGCCTTTCTGCAATCTCCCGATGACGGGGCTTTCTCGTGTCTGTCCTCTTTGTGTCTCTGAAAGCCAAAGGGCTGGAACAGCTTTTCACGTGAACCCAGCCGCATCCGAAGCACCAAAAAGCATGTTCAAGCGGCATGACCGTCATGCTCCCCGGCATGACCAATGAATCATCGAACGTTTGGCTGGAAGTGAGCATTTCTCACTCCTTGGAGAAAACGCACGCCGTGGAGGAAATGAACGACGTTCAGCCTTTTGTCTGCAGCAAATCCTGTCTCTGTTCGGTTTAGCCTAGATCTATCGGACAAAACCTTCTCAAGAGACCAGACGCAAAATCTCCCATAGAGTACCAGCTCTGACCTCCGTGACCTCCTACAAAAGAATGACCGCTGGCATTGGATTCTGCCACCGTGACTTCCAACGACTTCCTGGCTTTACTGCTTTGAAGCGTCGGTTCCGCCCGCTTCTTCGGTGGCCGGGGGATGAAGAAAGCAAACGACAACTTCGGCCGTTGGAATAGCTCGTCCCAGTTGGGAGACACCTCCAGTTCTCGCCATGTTGCGGTGTCAAGATTGATCGAACATGCGAAAGGTGCAGTTCCCTGAAGAAAATGAGAAAAAGGCCAAAACGAGCTTTTAAGGTCCAAAACGTGGATCCCAGTCAATCACCACCAAATGCGGGTCCGCCGAAATCCAACAGTTCCACCGAACTCAAACAGTTCCACCGAACTCAACGTCTGGTCACGCTCGATCTTGTCCCTTGAAATCAATGGAACCAGCCCCTGCTGGCACAAAAGCGAGCTCACAGTGAAACCTCTTGGAGGTTTCTTGAACCACAAAAGTAGCCCGTGCACTGCCTTGGCCCTTTCCATAGTATGGCCAGGAGCCCCTAGTGGCTTCTTGCTCCTACTAGTATGGCCAGGAGCCCCTAGTAGCGTCCTTGCTCCTACTAGTACGGCCTAGAATCACGGCCATATGCCCAGAGTCGTACAGTCAGTGTGTGTGTGTGCGTGCAGAAGAACAGTGAAAAAGACCGTTGTCCTGGCGATGTATATCGTATAGTAGTGGTTTTGTCCCGCGGGTTTTTGACTCACTTGGTCAGACCCAGGTTACTTGACAGACTCAGCTTGGCTCCTCAAAACGAACCCCCTGGCTCGTAGAAACAAACACCACAAAAAAGATATGGCCAACAGATTCACAGGCCAAGGAATGCACAAGGCAGTCGGTGGCT